AGTAGTTCTCAAGCAAGGCATAACCTCCCTAGAACGCTCTTTGCTTTTTCCAGCATAGATGACTTTTGCTCAGTTAGCTGGCAGGCACTATAACTTATTATTACTTACTTTTATTTTATTTAGCTTTCTTTTGCTGAGTCTTCGGCCATGAGGGTTGATCTACACTCTAATTACAAGCATAGCATTTTTTTCTAGCGTCTTCGCCGGCGCACTTCTTAACAAAATGATGTGAACTAACATGCAGTTGTTTTGACATACTGATTACAAATAATACATACGCTTTGTTGGAGCCATTCAGTGCCAAGATAGTGCCATCGTTTTTTCTGGGACCCGGCTTACTCCTCCAAAATGGTCGCAAACCTGCGCTTGGAATAATTGGGGACGGCGATCGCGAACACGCGCTGACTGTGGGTAGCAGTGCCAATCAGCGCTCTGTTGGGGCTGGGACTGGGAGGAGGAGGACCTCTCTTCCCCAGGTACATACTTAGCAGGGCTCCGATGACCAGAGACCAGAAACGCGTATGTTTGCGGCGCCACCACAGCTGAATGTAATATTCTAGATCATACCGTCAAATATTCCCGGTATGCAAGCCCATATCGATTTTGGTAAAAGGGTGGTAGCGCCAAAGCGTTTCTGTGCAAAAAAAAACCAATGTCACATTCCTGATCGGTACATTGAAAAATCTCTATAGATGAAGTTCCAGCGAAAATTTTTCTCGATTTCGGGTTTATTGTGGTTAAATGGTGCCAACTACTTCTTTCCAGATTTGCCAAGCTATCTGCTTTGCTCACCAACGTCGTGTAATCCATCGCGATTTGAAACCACAAAATCTTCTTGTTGACGGGAAGGGTGCCATCAAGCTGGCTGATTTTGGTCTGGCTCGAGCGATTGGGATCCCTGTGCGAGTCTACACTCATGAAGTAAACTTTACACATTTGCCAGTCTGCGAAAGTTCCATATAGATCAAAAACGTTTTAGGTTGTCACATTGTGGGTACCGTGCTCCAGAAATTCTACTGGGAACACAGCGCTATTCGATGGGTGTTGATATTTGGTCCATTGGATGTATCTTCGCAGAAATGGCAAGCAAGAAGCCGTTGTTCCAAGGAGACTCAGAGATTGATGAGCTGTTCCGTCTTTTTAGGTATGGATATTATTGAGCCCACCTGCTTTGATTTGTTCACATTATTACTTTTATTTTTTCCAGGATTCTTGGCACTCCCACTGAGGCTGAGTGGCCAGGTGTCAGTCAGTTACCGGACTACAAGCCAACATTCCCCAAATGGAAAGGCAGCTCTCTAGCGGAAAAGATGGCAAACTATATGGATCATGACGCGATTGACTTGCTGGAGGTGAGTTTTCTCTTTCTTTCTTTGTTCTCGAGTTTTTAGAATTGTTTTTTTTCAAATCAATGTTGTCAAATTGGTCAATTTCTTCTATAGGAAATGCTGGTATACGATCCTGCTCGTCGTATCTCATCCAGAAAGGCACTTCACCATCCCTACTTTGATGATGTGAGTTTTTTAAAGACTTTTCCTCAGCATATCTATTTTCTGACAAATAAGTAGAGGTCACACTGTAGTGGCAAGCGCTTACCATGGTAGTGATACGGGATAGTCATTGGTTAACTTCGATCCGGCGCAGTCAAGTCTTTCACTCCTCTAGAGCCGATTGTGTGGTGATTTGTGTGACTTGAACACTGATTTGTACCTAGCGATCTACGCAAATAGTGGTGGATTCATAATTACATGCTAACACCGCGATTCTGGACTTATTTGTGGTGCGCCGCTCGTCCCGAGGCGGGGTTAAAGGAGGCCCGCTATCTGTTGCACCCCAGGTAGTCCCTTATATCAGTGCTGACCTCATTATGCGGACTTGATGTTGTTCTCCGTTGTCTGAGAGGAAAAGCTGTAGCCGGAACGGTATAGTCCGTTCGATACGGGCGGTGGAGAGTGTCAGGTGGAGGGGAGGGGCGGAGATAAGAGGTACTTGGTGCAGGTGCAAATCCGTTCTCCACCACTTGTTGTAGCGAACAAGCGACAAGGGGCTGGCGCTCAGCCAGATTCAGCCCCTTGACACGCCTTACCATCGGGAGAGAGCAAGACTACAGCTTGTAAAGAAGGCCAATGGGCGCTTACCATGGCGTTGTGAGGGGTACAGCCTAGTTTCGCTGCTATCTCAACTCTGCCCCAGGTCCTTCAGCCTCTCATTTTTGTAGACTATCGTTTAATATAAGCATTCTGAGGCGTTAATTTGCCTCATGAAAATTGTGAGATAGGTAAGGAAAAAAGAGTACTGTAATGATCCCTCCATCAGGTCGACACATCCAGCGTTCCAGCAGGAGCATATCGTGGCGAACTGCAACTCAATTAACACGCTTTCCGGTTTATGCTCGACATTTTCAGACGGTTTACTTTGTCACGTTATTCATATCTATCATAGAACCTTAGCTGTTGTAGATTTCCTCAGTATTGTTCGTTTTTATAACTCCATCGAATGCTACCCTGTCCACGAGTTTGATCTCGCACTACAACCCTGTATTTATACCTGGTACAATGTGCTTAGTTCCTCGAGTTTTATTCTTTGTTCTCTTACAATAAAGCTTTCATCTCCTTCACAATAACCTGTAGCTGGAGATACTTAAAGGCAAACCCTGCCATACTGTTGATGTTCAGGAGCCTTCTTTGGATATTTTAATCCTGCCTCCAACCATGGATGATGTACTACTTTCGTTGCTCGAAAATCTCAAAAAAACAAAAGAGGAAAACGCGAGCCGCCTACGACGAACCTAAGGTTCCACCCGTTCGCTATGGCAACGCCCAACCTTCATTTTCCATCGTTACATTATGATGCAGATGTTCCGCTACTGACTTTCTCTTTTTCAAAGGTGAGGTCCGGACATGATGAGGAGGAAGGGCTTGCACCAACAAGTGAGAACTCGTTCGTCTTATACAGGTATAGTCAATTTCGCTGCGTACGAAAGGGCGTATCAGGGCGAGGTGAGTATGGCACGGTAAAACCGTTCCCCCCGTTCCCAACAGTTGTTGGTGACAAGACTGCATCATACAATTCCTGTCACTCGTTTTCTACGAATTGTTGTCGCATACCCGCTTCAACAACTGGCAGAAAACTGGGTTTGACGCCGCGGCACACTTCACTCTGCCTGCCACGCCCCTTCATTTGCAGCGAACTCTAGTAAAAGCTGTTTCGACACGGTTACTATTGGTAACTGAGATAGGCAAATCAAGCATTTATGTATTAGCCGGATTCTTCCTGCTTTATTCTGTCCTCGACATTTCTTTCAGCGTCATTTGGAACCAATAACACCTTCTATTTATTATTACAAAACAAAGTATGTTTAAACATGTTTAATTCGATTTCTCTGTGAAGCATCCAACCAGAGAGATCAACTTCTGAGGTTTAGTACATACAACTTCTGAGGTTTAGTACATATCTTTCCATTTCTTGTAGCATACTGTAGCGTCACCTTTTACACAACCCTGAAAGTATCACTGCTTAAGTTTTATGAGTCCTGTGTGTTGCTGAATGTAGTAAAGGCAGGAAGGAATGCTTACTTCTACGTCAGCTCTTGCTTCACTCAACACGTCGCCTTTGTCGTTGACTACTTTCAGTGCAGGGATCACCTTAACGTCATACTTCTCCAGAAAGCCTCTGAAAAATCACTCTTAATGAACATAATCAACATTATGGACATTATTTGTGAGTGACATTCCTCCAGTCATCTAATGACAAAGGTCTCAGGATATCTGTAAACAGCGGGACCTTCATCTTCCTTCCTTTTCACTCCTTTTTCTCCCTTCCTTCTCTCATCTCCCTTATTTTCCTTGCTTTAAATGCTAGCACAGAAGAGCGATGAGGAATACACCTCTGTACGCTCAGCGAAAGAGATCCGTCTGAGAGATGCCTTGTAACGAATGACAAACTGAACCGTACTCCCCGTACCGATCATATGTTAGAAGCCATTTTCGCGGTTGTATTTTCTATCTTGGAAATACGAGTCCTTCGAATGTGCGCAATTATCCAATTAGCTCCATCTATGTAGTTACCGCAAGATGCGACCATAAGGGCAAACTCCGCATTCGGTTGTTGTGCAGACGCATTCTCTGGACATGCTAATCCTGCCGGCAATAAAGGATGCACTATTTTGCAGCTCACAAATATGTAAGGAAAGCGCAACCCACTCTCGACGAGGCCGCCAAGACGAGGGTTTATCTTTCACTTTTAAAGGTATCCTGATGGTGCCGTTGTTCCGCCGCAAGCTCTCTCCATTTCGAATGGTGAGAGGGAGGTGATAAGGATAAGGAGCCGACATCAACAAGTGAAAACTCTTCCAACCACGCCCTTCTTTCACTTTATGCACGCATGGGGTTCTATATGAGTCATTTCGGGCTCGTTTGTTCTGCTTTTTACTTCACTTTTGTGTTATCCGCCACCCTGTCATCGGTATTCGAGTCTCACAGCTGACCATTTTTAACGCGGGGTAGACTCTTACGGAGCAGGGTGTGAGTTACCATTGCATGCAGGCATGAGCACTTGACTATGAAACCATGACTTCATACAGGAACTGCTCGAAATGGCAGTATAACTTGTCAGCCTTGGGTCACTTACGACAAGTGGCAAGGTAAGAGCGAAGCGCGACTCGTACTAACGAAACACTCACCTACCGCAAGAAAAGGTCCCAAAGATGGAATTCACCTGATCTGAAGGGTCAAAATAATGTAGGAGAAACCACCATATGATTTCCTGCTTTGAGCAAGTCACATTTTTGCTGACTACTTACTGGATGTTTTCATCACCGAATGGTATGTACAGCCATGGCGGCATTGCTTTCTCGTAATACTCCAATTGATCCGCGGCTTCTTTGTCACGGGATACCCACACCACTTCCAAATTTGGTCGGTCGGCATCTCCTAGTTCTTCATAGAACTTCTGAAACACTTACTGGCTCACAGGGCGGTAAATGCTTCCACGAAAGAAACTTGTACCTTGAGCTTGGGGGTGAGCATTCTACAAGATCTACACCATCCAGCAGAGAAGTAAAGCAAAAGTACCTGAATAATTTGGATTATTACATAACGTGAAAAGCTGTAAAGGGCTCTGCATCTGAGTGTACTTCTGCCTGCTGAAAAGCCTGCTAAAGCGGCTCGCATGCTGAGCTGTACTTTTCTGCAATTTCAACAATCGAATAGTTGCCGCAGGGCAGGAAGCGCGGAATTTCTCCACTCTCGACATAATGAAATATACAGTCTTCGCAGTAGTCTAACCTCTTATTAGAATGCGGCACGCATTCTTCTTCCATTCAACATCTTAGTGGCTCAATGAATGTGGTATGGCCTATAGAACGACTTGCGGGGGGCAGCCCATGAACGAGTCAGCATCCTTATTCTAACACACGAATCTGGTACCAATTTACCGTCCCAGGAGAGCAGAATGCCCCTCAGCCGAATATGCGGGAGCCGCAGCGGGATTTGATCCATGAAAGTAAGTAATTTAGAACGAAACGACGGGTTACCTTCCCCTTGAGCTCGTCGACAGACACCTTGTCCACACCACGTTTCTTCAGTGGAACGTTTGCAAGGAAATGCTTTTCACGTGCGACAGTACGTAGTACTGATGGTGCCAATGGTTTTACGAGACGAGTAAAAGTCGTTGTTATCATGCTGAGCTGAAAACTTTCTTTGAAAACTATTTCAGATAGTTCCATTCCCTGATTTCCAAGATATTGTGGTAAATTGAATCGACACTTAAAAGCTTGGGTAACAGACACTCAAAGCATCTCCCTCTAAAGGCAGCGTTCATACTTCGCGATGATGTGCAACAGCGCGTGAATGCTAGCGTAGCGTAACGTAGCGAGATTGGCGCAGGTCGACGGCACGGCCGCTTGTGTTCGAAAGAGTATATTAGCGATCACAAGGAGGAGGGGACGCTGCTGTGAGCAAGTCTGAACCCTCCAAGCCAGATGACAATGTCATCTCAGATATAGAGGTGTAGTTCTGCGAATTGGTTCAACAACTCGGGACTTTCTCCGTCCCCAGCCAAGTCTCAGGCAAAAGCCTACTCTCCATTGAGAATCTCAGTCTTGCACAGTCTTTTGAATGCTCCAATCTCCCCAAAAAAGTATAAAAAGGGTAAAATCTTTGCCGCTGATCAATCCCTTTGAGGGATCGGCATGCATTCTACTTCCATTCGTAATCGTAGTGGCTTACTGAATGCGATGTGGCCTATACAATGACTTGCGGGGGCCTATACAATGTACAAGTCAGTGTTCTCATCCTCCCAGACAAATCTGGCACCAATATACGTCCCCGGAGAGTAGAAGTTTGGTTGGTCTGGGCGGGTGTCGAGCTGGGATTCGAACCCAGCACCTCGCGTAGTGACGGTGACGGAGCCACTTGTCACTACACCACCTCCCCAAAACTATAGGCACTACAAAATCTTACCAAATTTTCCCATCCCAAATTGGGTCAAAAGTCGATAAAGCAATGTTCTTCACAATTTTTTGCACCTCAGATCAATACGCCAAAGTGAAACAACTCACCTTCAGAGATCACAAAGCAGAGTAAGGGTTACTGATGCTTTTAGATACGATTCGCTTTCAAAGTGAAAGATCTACTGTCTGAAACCAACGAGTCTAACGTGAATGTCTAGCAACATGTTGAAAGTGCGATATGCAACAGTTGGTTTGACACCGCAACAGATTTCCCGAAATCAGCTGAAAATTTACTACTCATTTCTGGACAAACAACAACATCCTAGTAGCTTCTGGTATCCGTACAACTGTTAGACTCAAGAAGCATACGATATTTACATTACTCGGAAATTTCTTTGCACATTCTAGTCGTCACAATTGTAAACATGTAGTACCCAGTACTGAAACATGAAAGTTCTATAGAATTCTATACGACAACAACGGGCTAAGTATTAACTCCTAGTTAAAGCAAAAACACTGGGAAGTGGAGACATATCAAAGAAGACGAGCGAAATCGAAATTCAGTTCAGGACTAATGGGTTCGGCGACCATGAAGTCCGCGATCGGAGAGGGAAGCAGCGAAATGGTCCAAAAAGAGTCGGGCAGAAGTGTCCGTTATTGCTCTTGCATCGAAGCACAATGTAGCCGTGAACCTAAACCTTTGTGCCATGTGTGGGAGGGGAAAACAAGAAATAATTGAAAAAAAAATACTAACAAGTAAAGAGGAATGCCAGGTTATCGAAAATCAAAACACTGGGACCTTATGAACAACTCAAAGTGAAAGGAGGCTCATTAATGTCGCAGGCCACTGTTGAAAGGACGAGCCACCGAGGATTATTTGTGGGACAGTGCGCGGTTCAAGTTAGTAACTTATAGTCGCCATCTGCATCTCTCCAGGGCAAAAGAAAAATTAAAAAAACAAACCGATGGAGCAAACACCCCAGATAGGAACTGGCTGTTTCTCTGGGACGAGATCTCGGACTCACTCGTTTTGTGCCACTATCTTGCCACCTCTAGCTCACTAATCGTTTCTTAGTGCCATCCAATAATACGACTTGAGCTCCCCTTTTTCTTATAATTAGCAGAAAAAAAAGAGAGAAAAACACGATATAAAAAGCTGAGCTCATGACAGCAGACAGCCTCTCCTCTCTTGAGAGCCGAGACAAATTAAGGCTTCAGTTATGTGAAGCCGCAAAAGTGGGATAATCCTGGAGATTGAGGGCCAGACTACTTGCACAAGGAAAAACACTTAGGAAATGGTACAGCGAGGGACTGTATATAAAAATAAAGCGGCAAACAAATATTCACTGGTGATAGTTGCTATTCACACTTTACAACCGATCGCTAAAATTCAGGACGGATCTTTGTCAAAACTTCCTCGTGGGGGCGGATACACTAGGAACTTGTCTCCGTAGTTGTTCAACGTTCTACGTTCTAGACATACGTTTACCAACCTCCTGGAACGCACGCTTAGCTTTCGCAGGGCTCGGTACTCTGCGCTCTCGATCGAAATTATTCAATGTATGCGTGTTCAGGTGAAATTTTAGCCCAATCTATCTCTAAAGAGAAGACGAATTTCGATAAAATTGATGCTAAATTGCGAACAGTGGGATCGTGAAGGGGAATCCTTTCCGTTGGCGAAAGTTCGAGTTCAGGCTAATTATAGGCACAACATCGAGTAAGGATTTTCAGGAAGAAACGGCGATAAATAAGCGTGAAAGGATCGAGCTAAACCATCACCTGTTCCGAGGCTTGAAGTTTTCGTCCATGTCAATCCTAGTTCCACCAACAGTAAGGATTGCTGCCTGTGGTGGATTGATGATGGCTGTGAACTGCTCAACGCTGTCAAACATTCCCAAATACGAAATCCTGAAAACAACAATCACCGCATAGCAGTCAAACATAGAAAATGAAATAATAGAACGAACGTGAACGATCCTCCTTGACATTCATCCGGCCTGAGTTTGTTTTCGCTTGCACGATCAGCCAAATCCTACAAAATAGAAATAAATCTTAGAAGAGGGAGCATAAAAGAGTTGAGTTCACCTTCACTCTGACAGATATATCTTGAACACCCAGAATGTCCGCCGACTTCACGATCAGGTTGGTGAGGCCGTACGCAACGGAAATGTCAACCGTTGGATGGAAAATCAATCGTGAATCAGAAGATAACTGCACATTCACTTCTGGTACTGCCTGCAAACGCACACTATAAACGTTCCACTAAAACGTCACCTATAGCTACGGTATAGTAGGAAAAGAGGAGCCAAAATTGAAAGTATTGCAGAATTCGTACCCTTAGAGCGAGTGCTGCTGCTTTAATAATGAAGCTGTTAAGAGACACTTCAACTCCTTTCGCCTGCAATTCTGCTTGAATAGCCATTATCGCATCTGCTTGCACTGTTGCCGATTGGTATCCATGAGGAATCGACTGCTGTAATTGATGGAGTTCGGACGCGAAACCACAAATTCGAGAAACTAATGCCCCGTTGGGGGGGGGGATTGAAGAGGGGTACGAGGGCACTTGTCAACCAGACGTGCTCTCGCTGCGAGGGTCCAGGGTATTTTCACGAGGCATCTACCAGTCCAGTAGTTGAAGGGAGAAGGTAAAGGAGGAGGGATCAGAGAAGGAAGGAAGGAAAGGGAGGAAGACAAAAGGAAAGAGAAGAGAGACTCCCGGTTGACAAGTGCCCTGAGACGGAGGCACGGGTCTACGGAAAGACTTAAAGTACTTGTACTAATACATACCGTACATGCACAATACACATACCTTTGATTGAGTGAGCGTCTTTGCGATAGTGGCCCGTTCATTAGAAAGAGGAATGTCAACGAACTTCTCGACATGACGCACCGATCCGGTTGGCTAAACCATGTGACTGATATATGGATCCATATAAATCTCAGAAAACAGTCCTCATGGTCACTTGAAGTAAACATACGTCCCCAACATAGTCCCAAAGAGAAGAAGCTGATAAACTGTTTAACGGACCTTTGGTGGGCGGGCGCCGCCCCGGCCTGGAGCTTTTTCTGTGGTGCACTCGGTTGAGGATGAGGAGCTCCAGCTGGCTCCGGAGGTGGAGCTACACTGACAACGACAGGTTTCAATCCACTTGCCTTGACGAGTGCGAGTACATCACTGCAAGAATAAAATACAGGAAAAGAGCGAATATCACCTTTTTCTAAGACTTTCTGGTATTAAAGCAGATTACTTATATCAACCCATATATCTAATTCGCTTCGTCTGTTTGTTGAAGTTTTGTTTGTTTGTTTGTAAGTTTGTTTGTCTGTCCGGAAATTCGGTTCGACCTGAAGAACGACTTGAGAGGTCGGGTCAAGGTGGGGATGGGTAGAGCATGGGACAAGAAATAAAAAGCACACTTGACCTATGCGAAGCCCCGCCCACAGTGGGCGGGGCACTCGCTGAAATTTTGGGTTTCACAGAAAAATGTTCATAATTCGCTTCCGGAGCAGCCTAAGATGGTGAAAAAAGGGAATAAGGTTAGTAAGGAGTCGCCAGACTAACTGTGGCAGACACATCCAAAATGGGCGGGGCGTACTCAAGGTGGGCGGTGCTTCGCATAAAACTCTGCGTCGCCTCTCTTAATAATTTTTATTCTCTCTTTCTCGGAATTTTCTTTTAAGTTTTTTACTCTGCATATAATTCAATAGTTAGTTTTTCTTTAAAAGTTCATACTATTTTCTCATAGTTCCTCGTACACAGTTACCCTTCCTCGGTTCTTCGTTCCTTCTCGTTGGAACATTTTTTTTGCCCCGCATTCCACGCATCAACGATTTTATTGATTAGACTACGATGGGGCAGGGGCATAGCGCAAGAGGAAGTCCGTTGAGGATGACGTCTCACAGGATATGCCCCTTTGGGCAACACGGATGATCGAAAAATATGAGTCATGCTGCGAGAGGATTGAAAGAGCTCTGGTGGTATCTTTCGACAAAATAGCTGCTAAAATAGTCAAAATAGATCAAGCACAGGAAACGATTCTTTCGCGGTTGTCAGCAATCGAAGCGGGCATTGAAGCATTGAAGAGTTCGGCACCAATGTCTCAAAGCACGCTTTACTCCACCATTGTGAAGGTACGGGCCGACGAGTCGAAGATCGAGGACAAATTGCGCAGGATTGCATGGGTCGGCATCGGAGAGCAGAGGGATGACGTTGCAACGCGTAAATTTGACTATGAGGCCCTTAAAGAAGTCATTGAAACATCGGGCGACAAGGAGCTGCTTTCAGAATTCGAGAAAGGTGCCATTGTTTTGCATCGCCATCCCAAAGGGCAACCTAAGGGAGTCAATGCAAGAGGACGAATCATAAAAATAGACCTTCCGACTCAAGCTCTAAAAGACCGCTTACTCCGTCATATGAGGTCTGGCAGGCAGAGTCTCACCAAGGAGTTCGTACACTCGTACGCCCGCCGGGACTACACAGAGGAGGAGCTGAACTTTGATAGGTCTTTGAGGAAGCAGCGCCGGGAACTGAATCAAAAGGCAGGGAAGCTCTGTTACGTCGTTCGAGACTTGGAGATTCACAAGCTCAAAAATCCAAGGGAATTACCTGCTCGGTACATTACAACGAATCAGCCCACTCGCATCTCATCGACGATGTCTTCTGCACCCGTGACAGGAGACAAGGGGGAAAAAAACCCAATTGCCCTTCGCAAGTGCCATGTTCTTCTCGTCTCGATATGGTCTACACACCTAACCAGAAGGGGGCCGACTTGAGCATTGTCGAGAATGTCTACACCAGTCCAAGCACAGGCTTCTAGGATCAGGCTCCCCTCTGCTTGGGGATTCCCTTGAGTCAGGCACCACCTCAGACGGAGCACTGCAACACCTTTGTCTTGCTGAACTCTCGCTCGATCAACAATAAGCTCCCCGACCTTTATAACCTTCTCAGTCTTAGTCCTAGAGCAGTTTTCATTACGGAATCTTGGTGTAAGCCCCATATGATACACGACTCCACTATTACGGCCGGTCTCCCTTACCAGGTTTTCCGCTGCGACCGGGAGGGCGAGACTATGGGGGGAGGAGTTCTTGCCCTCATTCACTACTCTATCCCTGCTGTATTACGTTCTTCCTTAAACTTTTCCCCATATGTCCAATGCCTAACTATTCAAATGGAGGTATTGACTCTGAGCGTCATCGTAGTCTTATGCTATCGTAGTCCTTCTGCGTCCATTGACAGCTTCCAGAAACTCATGAATTATCTAGAAGAACTGGGTCAAGAACCAACTTCTACTATTATTTTGGGTGATTTCAATCTTCCCGGTATTTGTTGGGAACAGACACATCTCGATTCCAAATCATTCAACTCCTCTATGTGTGAGCTTCTCTACAATTTTGTGCAATCTTATAATTTTGAACAGTATGTCAATCATCCAACTCATTGTGGGAATATTCTTGACTTGGTTCTCTCAAATAACTCATCTCTTCTTGCCGAGGTAACAGTGCAAGCCCCCAGCGCCGAAAAAGGCTTGAAATTGTAACTACGAAAATGTGAGAACAACATAGCAATTAAAAATTAGAAACACAAACGCATTGAAAAAGCTACTTTAAAAACAGGATCTTCCCTATCTCAGATACGTCATTCCGCACACCTAAAAGGAACAAGCGAAAACTCAGAAAAATGAGTGCAAACGTGGTTGGAGGGAGGGAAGGGGACCATTCGACTAAGTGAGCGACGAAAATGATGTTTACAGTCTCTTCTTCACTAGCTACTGAAGCTCCTAGTTGACAATAAGTGAAAATGCGGCTTGATGACCAACAAATCACTCGCTCAAAGCTCTTTGTCCACACACCTCTTCAGAATGTTGCCCTTTGGTCCTGTAGCTTTCACATCCTTCTGATTGACACCATACTGTAGCAAAAGCAGTCGCACTGCTGGTCCACACATACCACTTAAATAAGGGCATATGAGAAAAAGAAATAGTCCGTAATAGATGGAAGAAAAATCACAGTCGCATAAAAACACTCCTGTAAAGCATACCTCGAGGAATGTGGAGCAGTGGTAAGTGCTCGTCCCGATGCTGTGATAGCACGAGTTAAAAGCATCGGTGACCACTGGTAATTACTGAAATTGTCAATAATTATGACGAAACAAAAGAGAAGACGAGCTGCTTTTTAGTTTGATAGCGAACTTTTGATAACGAATGGAGAGCATTGATCGGAAAATTGATTTGAAACAGACGCTATGCTATGACGAGGAAGCACTTGAGAGCAAAAGTGCAGAACACATGATGCTTCTGAAATAGATCAAAGTCGTCTGTCGGGTGCATCTGTCTGCAATCGCACTAGAAACACGTATTTCGGTAACTCGTCCACGTACTTTTGTCAACCGAATAATCTCTTGTTGCGAAAGTGTATGAGTACTATCTCATTGCTCTTCTAACCAAACTCTTGGAGGAAGAAGATAAGGAAGATGGAAGAGAGAAGGAAGGAAGGAAAAGACGGGGAGAGCAAAACGAAGGAGGGCGAAGGTTTCGCATTTGACAGATGTCCTGCGACGCCCCCATTCAGGAGCTGCCTGCAGTCGCTAACATTGTAATCAGGTTTTCTCATGAACTCCTGTTATATATTGTTATTTGACCTAATGGTTTGCTTTTAAAATTATCACCTGGCTTCGGGCTCGGTATCTCAGCGACAACCTTTAGAATTATATCCAGGGAGGAGTTTGTTAATGATGAGCACTAACCGCCGTTTTTAGTGCAAACTTTTTCCACGTTTTCTTCATTGTTCCATCATAGTATGTAGGTCATTCACAAGAGGTCTCAGGGCAGGAGATCCAATGTACCGGGCCAATTCCAGGAGTTATAAGGGAAAGTGAGTCATTTCAGTGCAGTCCTGTAAAGCTACGCTAGGAAATGTTGGGAGTCATGTTTTTTCGCCACGAATTTGTTTGTCGAATAGTGTTTAGCCTTGGGAGATGTGAAAAACGATCATGGATGGGGAGGGGCGTGAATCTTTGTCAAGCCTGAAAGTGAGATGAGATTCCTTGGGGGTGGACGAATCTCGACACCATTCAACTGTTAGTATCCCACATATTCGAAGTCAAGAAAGCACGTCACCTGTTTGAAGTACTACGCCGGCGCGTAAACCCTGTTTGAAATCGGCTTCATTGGTGCCACGTGATTTATGGGCCGTACACGGACCGCGGGCAGGGCACATCGTTGGTTGGGGAATCCCCAACAGGGGGTCGTATTTGGCCGCCAGGAGAGGGGGGGTCGTAGTGAGTGCGGCAGCCAGTAACGAGCAGCGCAAATTGTCAATGTGCTGAGTCCTGTACAACGAAACTTGCTTTGTAGAGAACTCGGATATGCAAAAAAATAGTACAAAACTTTCATTCATCAAACTAATCCGAAATAACTGCAAATATTAATAAGTCGACATCATCTCGTAGGTCCGTTGGTGACTAAACAGTACAAACAGTCAAACTCTGGTTCGCTGCCAATGATATGGCGTGTCCGCGGTCACGCTTGGCGCTGAGCCAACCTGTTTTTTTCTCGACAAGCGACAGGACTACCATATCGTTCATATCAGACGTTTTCCAGCAGTTGGTCTCCTTTTCGGAGTCGAAGGCGATTGGCAGAGCACGAATCTGGCAGCGTTGACAGGGACATGTTCCATCAACGGAAAACACTGTAAACAAGTGCACAGGCTCGCCATGGACCTCCCTGAACCTTATAGACACATTTGCTCGCGTGAACAGACATTACGCACAAGTTGCACCATCCCATCACCTTCGGCCCTCAGTGCGCGGCGCATCCAAAGTTCGACGTGATGCGGGTCTAAAAGAACCATAT